TTAATATTGACCTACCGATGACAACATGATTATGAATTAATAGCAGTAATAATGGGTAATAACGAGTGAGTGATTTACTTTTAACATATCTACTAAGTATATCGTGTGTAGATAAGTGTCATTTAGTAGTAAATGTCTCGCATGTTTTCCGTGTAAGTGCAAACATGTGTGGTTGGTTTCACTAACCAGTCTGAAATATTACTACAGCCATTAGATTGTCTCATGTATTAAGAAGTTTATTACCAAAAAATATGAAAAATACTGGGATATCAAACATTATGTATGTTTTACATCACGCCTTTTAACCCCGAAAGGGTAGGCAGAGGTGTGCATTATGCCACTGTTCACTATTTATGTTATGAGTCGCATGGAATAGAGAGTGAGCCTATTGCCATATACCGGGCGCAATTCCAGACTCCGTGCTACTACTAGGAATTATTTGAAAAACCCAGTAATACTTTGCCCGACCCGGGAAACGAACCCGAGACCCCTTGCCCGGCAGTCGCACTTGCGACCAGTCGGCCAATGAGGCAGTCAAGTGGGATATCAAACTGATTGTTATAATATCTTTAATTGATGTAGGCACTAGTCTGTATTATTTTCTTATTTTCAGTGTTTGAGTAAATATTGTTGTTATGCCTTAATCAAATAAAATATCTAGTAGCCGTAAAGGTCTACGTGATCCTAATTTATAAATATTTCTAAATATTCTAACTTTTAATAACTTGCATGACCTACCTAACGAAAACAATAGAGCTCTAAATCTAATAAATCAAAACATATTTGGCCTAAAGCTAACTCAGTGCCAATAAATTTCACAAAATTTGTATCAAAATTGTATCTTTCAATTTCGAATACATTGAATTGTTCTTGTAAATCAATCTAAATTTTACTTCTTAGCAGAAGTAATTTTCTTTAAATAATAAGTATTAACTGTGCTTGCTATCTTTGATATGGGAATTAAATCGACGCTAACAATAACGATCAATATTTTTTTAATCACAATATTCGCCAAAATAGCAATATCCGTTTGTCAAATTCGGACGCGCATCACTAAAAGTGGCGTGTGTTAATAAAGGAAGCGAATAACAAATCGCTGTATAATAAGTGTTTACAAATAAAAAAGTTGATAAAAAGGAAACAACGCTAACTATTGTGTACACAAGTGACAACGTGTTTGGAATATTATTCGATGTACTGACGCCATAACAAAATCAAAGGAAATTATGACTATTTTGATTATTTCGGAAGGATATTGGTTGTCGGTAAATATTTGTTCTCTAAACTCGCTGGATATTGATTTTTGGTAGTCATGAAGTACTAGGGAATGTATCTCCAATTATACCTACATATTTTCCATATATATATTACATTTTCATCAGGATTTCGATTAAAAAAATTTTTATTTAAAAATGTGTTGATGATTATAATAGGTACATGTTAAAGTCAAAGTCAAAATCACTTATTACAATTAAACTACGTAGCTACTTTTGAACGCCAAGTAAATACTAAAATATTAAAAATGTCAGACTGTCAGTCAGTCTTTTAGTGAAGTTATTTTCTCGTTGAAAAATTTCCTATGCAGAAGAACTAGTAAGAAACTCCACAGGTTACTCTTTTATAAATCTTTGATTAAGTAACCAAAATATAAATATATTAAGGAAATAACGATCTGTGTGTATCTAATAAAATGTTGAAATCAAAACAACAAATACAATGTTGATGTCAACAACAAATTAATGATAACTCATTGCTCACAGTTTGTAAGACAATAGCTACACAAAAAAAATAGATCATAACAATACTTTGACAAAATGTAACACTCCCCAATGTATGGGACGAGACGAACAATTAATTTATATTTGTACAACAAAAATTTCAGATTACAATGGACGCTATATCATTGGCGAATGTTTATATAACTGAGACAATGTGTTTGTATATTTGTTTATAAACAATTTCTTATAACGATGATGCTGTTGTCACTACTAGGTACTTTGCTGATAATATTTCCTCAATGATGCAAAACCACTTTTTAGTTTTTTCTTTGGTAATTTATTGCAGCTGCCTATATGCGATGATATGTTGCTTTCTTTTGTCTGTCATATTGGACACAAAATTTACAATATTAGAATTGGGTTTGAAAAAAATCTAAAATAGACATATTTGTGACTAGTTCATCGTTATTTTTTAAACGATAATTACTTGAATTGATATTATATAAAATAAATATAACATAACATAACATCAAGCCTTTTATCCCCGAAGGGGTAGGCAGAGGTACACATTACGGCACTTAATGCCACTGTACAATGTAACACCCACTTTTCACTATTTATGTTATGAGTAATAGGGGGTGAGCCTATTGCCATATACTGGGCACATTTCCAGACTCTGTGTTACTACTGAGGTTTTTACAAACCCAGTAATACTTTGTCCGACCCAGGAATCGAACCCGAGACCCTTTGCCCGGCAGTAACTCAAATATTTTGAGCTTAAACTTAAAGTTTGTGCATCCCTATCTTCAGTATATAACAATATAGATTTATTTGATGTATTTTGATATCTATTATACGTAGCAAATAATTAATTGAACATTAGAAATAGTCAAGATATCCGTCAGTTACATTTACACAAACCTAATCAGGCATTATGAAAGGCCATCGAACTGTATTAGTTCTAGTCCTGAATCCTAAAGTATATAGATTTTAGGTATAATACACACATGTATAATATGTTAAAGTAGGTAATGAGACAAGTACACAAAACATAGAAACATAAATCATTCTATTTTTTTATGTTAGGTCGTTCGTGAATCGTAAATTATTACCAATAGTTTACTATTTCTTTCATGGCTTTCAGTATTTTACTTAGCCTTATATTTATTTAAACTGTCAAACACCAAGCGGTCACCGGTGACCGCAACCTATTGTTCTATAATTGTGTCTACAAAACCGGTACTCGACGAGTTAAATTATACCACGAGAATTACATATAGGGGACCCTGGGGCTGGTTTTAACAGGGGTAAATACTAACAGCGTAATTACCTAAAACCTATTCGACTTACCACGCCAATTCCAACGCACTTTGTGCCTACGAATACGCGCGAACGTGTCTCGACCTGTCAGTTGCCGACCGAGCGTCACGGGAGCATGTTGTGTTAGACGCCTCAAATTTCACAGGTAAATGAACTTTCTTATGTGTGTCATTTTTTGCATTACTCTTTAAATATATATCGTAGAAAATTGGTTTTGCTACTGCATTAATCCGTATTTATTGTATTTTTCATTAATGTTAAAGTTTTAATCGAGAACATAAGCGAAAATAAAAAAACAATAACTTTGTGCAAAATGGGGCCGTGGGGTTGGTTTTAACAAAATGCACGGGGTAGGTTCTAACGCGTTAATATTTGCCCCGCACACGGGGCAGGTTTTAACAGTTGAACAATTTTTAAAGTAGGTAATATTGTTCTAACTGTTTCTATACGACGAGGTTGCAATTTTGATCCCAACTGCGATCCCATTTCGAAAAATGTTAAGGTTATGGCGATGGAAAAATAAGTTTTCTACATTGTCTCAGGTTTGGGTGTTGTGGTATCTTCGTTGTTTCTGATTTCCATAACACAAGTGCTATATATATATAAGCTACCTACTTACTAAGGGATCGGAGCAATGTATGTGATGTTGTCCACTATTTATTTATTAAATTAATATTGTGTGCTGTATGGATCGACCTATTAAACTTCTATTGTTTTTTTAGGATGAGAAATTATAAAAGGAAAACCACGCGTGGAAGTACATCGGAAGAGGTATATGAACTAGCAGCTAAGGAAGTATTGGAAAATAAAAAGAGCCTGAGGGAAGCAGCTAGAAGTTTCGAAATATGCCATGTAACACTTCATACATTTATGAAAAAGAAGAAAGAAGGCTTACCGGTGGAACTGGGATATAAAAAAAATAGACAAGTGTTTAATACACAACAAGAAATTAAGTTAGCAGAATATCTTCTACAATGTGCTGTAATATATTTTGGCTTGCTACCTAGTGAAGTCAAAAAACTGGCGTATGAAATTGCCGTTTATCACAAGATTTCCAACATTCCTGAAAGTTGGACAAGAAATAAGTCCGCTGCTAATGACTTGTATTATTAAGTTTAAATTTTTGTTTTCTGTTTATTTTATGAACGGTAAGGAACCGCATTTAATTTTATTAGTGTTTCTAATAAACATTGAATATTATTTTGTTGTTCGTCTTTACTAAAATCCCATTCCCAACTACATGTTATTTCTTATTCCCGCTGTTAAAACTTTCCCCTGCAGTGTTAAAACCAACCCCAAACCGGGGGTAAGATCTAACAAGTGACTTGTTTGCCAAAAATCGTTTTTTCTCAGATATGGTAATTATTATACACATTTTGTTGTACTTTACGTAAAGCTCATAAAATTTTGCATCATGTGTCAAAAAACCATGTTTCTTAGCAAAGTAGTTTAGAAAATATTACGCTTAATTCAAAATTTGTTAGAACCAGCCCCAGGGTCCCCTACATAGATTTTCAGGTTTTCCTATTTATTTATTGACTTAGGGTCTTCAACAAGGAATACCCTTAGAACACACGAATAACATTACAAAACATATAAGTGAGATTCACACTAATATGTTTTTTGTTCTGTTCTCTATTATTCTAAGTTTATTATCAGTATTTTGTTTATGTAAGTATCGTATCTGTATTTTTTTTTTTAACTTTGTTTTATATGCTAATTGCCAAATAAATGCTTTTTCTTTCTTTTTTTCTAATAATAAACAAAGTATGCAAAACATAGCAAATTCTTTACTGCTTATCATTATACACACAAACACAAATAACTATAGCAAGCAATAAACACTAGGCAAACACAAAATAAATAAATTTTTTTAGACATTTCATACATTTTAAGTACACAACAAAATATAATTTACACACAATATAAAATTATAAAATATTAATAAATAATAATACTTACAACGACAACGGTAACTGTGATCGCGGTTGAAATAGCAGCGCAGGCGCATCCTTGCCTTATCTGCCTTTTCCTGGACGACCTTAGGAACTCCTCGGTCCTAGCATCGATAGTCCTGTACAACCCGAATTGTCGGATCCGGGATCCACTGGACGTCACTGAGCCCTCACTAGACATGTTACCGACACATCACTACTGCAAGAATGGTTTGTTTGTGAGTTGGAGCGCACGCGCCGCGTCCGCACTAGAAAATGTGACGGATTCTTCGAGCTACGATAATGTTTTCCTTTGAGATGGTAGGGTTGGGGCTCTAGTGCTTGAATGTTATCGATAAATTATTTATTAAAATAAACAAGCAAACCTGAATAGTAGTGTAATGTTTAGTTCCGTCCCGGAATAGTAGTGTGTTTTAATATTAAATTTAATATCAGGTATAATTTATATTTCCCACTTTTTATTAATCGTATCGTGGATTTATATTTCAATCGTTAGTACGACAAAAAATAAATATTTTCGCAAAATCCGTTGTACCCTCAAACAATAGGTAATTAAAAGAATTTTCGCATAATCATAACATCGTTAATACAAAGTTCACACTGTTTTTTGGAATATTACTCTCATCATTTATCTTACGAACATAGTGAAAATAAATCATCATTATCGATATGTAATTTTCCCAGCACTAGCCAGCACGATGCGCGGACGCAGAGCACTGGAGCGTGCCGGCCACCGCTCCCACACGACCGAATATTCGTAACACCAGTGAAAATCGCAATTATAATATGTAATGTATTCACATCACTACCTATGTTCTCAAAACTTACATTGTAACGTTAATAAACGGGCAATTTTTGTTTATTTTATGTGCTCTAATCTCATAAATTGCTCGGGTCATTTTGACTAAGTGTAGAGAGTGTTGTATCGCGAATTTCTATGACGTTGACATGTTGCGTCATGTCATGGCCGGACATCCACTGTTTAGTGGACAAATTGCATTTTTATTACCATTTGTCTGTTTGTCACTAAATTACTTTCTGTGCGTGTGAAGTGAATGTTATTAACTTATGTTTTAACTGCATCCAGTGCAATCATGTGATTTGTTTCATCATCATCAACAGCATATAAGTAGCCACTGCTGACCAAAGGCCTCTTCTCAAACAAAGCGTGTTTAAGCATTAATCAATACGCTTGCTCAATTTGGGTTTCCAATTTCAAACTTATAATTAGAAATTACAAGCTCAAGTCGTGTCTAAATAATCTTAGCAAGTACAAATAACTCGGAAAAAGTCACATTGGTACTTGCAGTTGGTAGGTTTCGAACTCACACCCTCATGCATGAAAAGCGCGCGTCATAAACCTTATACAAGATTTTTACTGTATTCATGTGATGTATGATTGATTAACATCATTTACAAATTGAATCAACTTTACACGAAAATCTAAGAGTAAAATCATAACTTGTCACATAAATATCAAAAGATAAATAAATAACAAATATCATTAAATTCATCATATTTCATTAAAACTGACGTTTTATATGTACAAAAGCGTAATATGGCTTCATGTATGTGAGCTTTGATATGTATCAGTGTATCGCAAATGTTCATTATGTTAGGTTAAGACTATAATAGTCGCAATTCACCCTTTACTTTTTCTTCCCGGTATATGGCAGTAGGCTCACCCTTTATTACTCATAACATAAATAGTGAAAAGTGGGTGTTACATTGTACAGTGGTATAATGTGCACCTCTGCCTACTCCTTCGGGGATAAAAGGCGTGATGTTATGTTATGTGTGCACCTCATTCATCCCATGGGGCAAATGACGATGAGGTTTAACAAAAAATCCCCCAACCATGTATTGTAATTATGAAGCAAGAATTACTGCCTCGTTGGCCGAGTGGTTGCAAGTGCGGCTGTCGGGTAAGGGGTCTCGGGTTCGATTCCCGGGTCGGGCAAAGTATTACTGGGTTTATAATATAAATATGTAGTAAAAAGTGCGTGTTACATTGTACAGTGGCGTGCCGTAATGTGCACCTCTGCCTACCCATACGAGGATAAAACACGTGATGGTATGTTATGTTATGAAGCAAGAATGTAAGTTTAGTGGCATACATTTGAGAGGATGGTTTCAAAGCTAACTACATCATAAATGACTTATCATAATAGTTGTATTTTAACGCCAGGAAATAGACCGAACTTACTACTACTTCATCATCTACGGCCATACTCTAGATACCTATATAAAAGAATTTTCCGCAATGTCGATGCTTGGCAAGCGTTTTAGAGTTCTACGTTTAAAAGTTTCTTAAGATTCTAAAGATCTTCTGCAAGTATTTTTTTATAGTATAAGCCGGTAAACGAGCTGACGGATCACCTGATGGTAAGCAATCGGCGTCGCCCATGGACACTCGAAACACCAAGGCGTTACAAGTACGTTACCGGCCTTTTGGGAATTGGGAATTTTAGGATTGTGGAGGATTCGGGGATTTGGGAGACGGGGACTAGGGAGGGGGTAACTGGGCCTCCTGTAACCTCACTAATATGACGAAAGACAACGCAAGCGTTGTTTCACGTCGGTTTTCTGTGAGGCCGTGGTATCACTCCGGTCGAGCCGGCCCATTCGTGCCGAAGCATGGTTCTCCCACACTTATATTTATATAAATATTTGTAATAATATGGTATACTCAGAGCTAGGTTTGTCTTTTGTAAAGTCCTATTGTTTATTTATGGTAATTTCTGCATCTACAAATCCATGATTATAAAAAAAGTCTTTAGTCACTGTATTAGTATAGGTATACTGATCCTAATGCGTTAAGACTATAGAGATGATTATCTCTGCACATTGTAGTAGTGCCGAACGAGCTCCACTTACCGCGGTTGAGTGCAGCGCTTCATATTGCTATCAATTTTAATTACCCACTCCACTATATTATTATCAAGTTTCATTTCAGTTTACGCTCTTTGCTCTCAAAGGATTATCTATAGCGGTACTATTGAAATGTACCTAACAGTAGCATAATTATCACACAGCAAAAATGGAGCTATAAAAATAGAACTTATCACGAAATAGTAAAGTGGAAAGTCTTTTGAACATAGATTATTCTCGATTTGGTAAACATTTTATGGTGTGCTTTAATTGCTTTAATTTTTTTTACGGGATATAGTAGACGGATCACCTGATGTTAAGCAATTGCCGCCCCCATGAACACCTGAAACACCAGAGTCGTTACAAGTGCGTTACCAGCCTTTTGGGAATTGGGAATTTGAGGATTGCGGAGGATTCGGGGAATGGAGAGACTGGGGATAATTACCCCTCATTCACATGACGAAACGCAAGTTGTTTCACGTCGGTTTTCAGTGAGGCCTTGGTATTACTTCGATCGAGCGGGCCTATTCGTGCCGGAGCATGGCTCTCCCATTATGCCATTCATTAGTGTATTGTTAAGATCTTTGTTCGTAATGATTTCAGGTAACCTATCGCTTTGCCTACTCCCAAGGGAACTCATAACGTCTACTATTATTATAGACGTTAGCAGCTCGAAATTCATGACTGATGACCAAGGTTAGCACATCAAACGATGGTATGCCATTGGAAGATAGACTTGCACCGCATCTTGTTTCGTTTTGTCGTAAGTGTAGTTATGACTCACTGATAATATTTTTACAGGGTCTACAATGCATTGCTGATTTGGGGTACAACATATATTCACAGGCCATATAAACCTGCCATCCTGTGGTATAGAAGTATGTTATGGTAAAAAATTAAGAAAATTTCGATAATCGATGAACACAATAAAATATTTCGTTAAGAATCGATACTAAGATTTCTAGCTCATTATTTGGAATTTGTAATCTTAACAATCCATTTACAATTACAGACATTGTTAGTAGATAACTAAAACTCTCACGTGTATTGTTTACAGTTACGCATTACGTAAGAGGCCTACAGTGTACTAATTACAATTATTACAATTTTAATGAACTTTCTAATCCATACAGGCGTCGATACGTAGAAATGATGAACAGCTGGAAGTAACATTTAATGGATTTATTATGACGGACCGTGATACATTGTTGCTTTGTACTCTCTCTGAGGAAACTGGTGCTACGTGGTGATTTAACAGAATTTTAGAACACTTATATTTTTATTTACAGCATCGAAGGTACAAGTCACGGTTTCAAAGGGATTCGGCTTAAAGATCGGATAAATTATTGCCTTTTTCGATTGTCAAAAAATTCTCAATTATAGGAATAAAATGGACCCTGGTTGGCTGGTCTATAACTATAGATTTACCTCGAATTAAATAGGATTTGTCACAAACTGTACCTTTGCCTAGTTTCGATATCAATAAGCTTTGTTTTAAATTTTCTTGATCTGGAGAGAAAACATACTTTGACTACCGTATTAATTAAATTATCCTTTTTCCTTTCCAAAGAAAAGTGGTAATGTCTAGTGATTATGTTGTTATTTTCTCCTGGTATGAGAACTTGAATAACAAAATAAGTAGCCAATCAAAAACAAGCAATTTAAATAAGACACAAAGACCTAAGCTTTGATGCCATTCTCGTGTCAGTATCGTATGAAGACAGACGAATTGGTTATGTACATACGTGTACATACATAAGCAATTAGTTATATGCAAAATTGACAACGTTGACGCTTACTTTACATATAATTATCTGCAAGATTGATGAGCTTCAGATGTTCTGATAAATTGATGCATAACAGAACTATAATACATCAACTTGTCATTATTTTCTTTCAGTATTTTCACTTAGGAACACTGGAATTCCTAAGTCCGTAGCTCATTATCTCCGATAATAAATTAGTAGTGCGTCGTCGAACTTCGCGCTTCAACGATCTGCGTTGATTTATTGAATAAAGACTAGGTAAGTATAAGAAAACGAAACTTTGTTTTTGGGTAGAATATCGATGTTCATTCAATGTTTCTTGTACTTTCACCGTGATCTTGGATGCAATAAGATAAATGGATACAAAAGTGTTGTCATTGTGCATTGGAATTGGTTATACATCGTAACTATGTACTTATATAAGTTTCTGGCTATAGTAAAATTTAAGTGGGCTATTCAACATTTTCTTCTCCGTTTGAATGCTGTCATAGCGTTATCAAAAGGTTCAAAAAAAACTACAAATATTTTATTATTTTTATTTATTTAAAAAAATATTTTACAATCTTAAACGTAGAATTAGTTGAAGGCAGTGTTTCCGCGTTTCGATTTTTATGAGTATTACCGTTACAATATATATAACTAGTTACTATAATACATAAACAAACAGTTATTAACAAAGTATTATTATAGTATTATTGCGACTGTAAGTACGTAGTACTCGTTTGGTATCACAATTTATGGCAACTTATTTAATACCTGATCGCATCAATTACTATTATTAGGTATGTAACAATTTTAATAATTACAATTTGTAGTAAAATGTAAATAAAGATCTAATTTAGCGTGACAATTCAAATGATTTGTTAGAGCCAGATAATTTGCTAAATTCGTTAACTTAATGTATTTGCTAATTTAATGTCGATAATGAAATATTACCGTTTCTGTGACTACTAACAAATTACGTCTGTCAGTAGTTGCAATTCCAATTTCGTATAAATTAATACTTTTTCCACAAGAAAAATTACACTTGCACGAATTGGGATTGCAACTACAAACAATAGAGCGTGTGACATTAAATCACTTTTTAAATGATGCGTCAGGTTTCTACATCACTAAACTTAATTAAAATACGAATGGTACCAATGGTCGGTCGTAGAAATAGCCCTTGTCTTCGACGAACGGCGGTCGAGTCGTGTATGGTCTACTCGTGGTGGGGGGAGGAATGTAGACTGGAGCCCTTGTTGTTTGGGGAGGGATGTATACAGGAGGCGCTCGTGTTGTTGAAGGGGGAATGTAGATCGGTGGCCGAGTTGTTGCGGGAGGGATGTACACAGGCCGTCTGGTCGTAGGAGGAGGAATGTATACTGGCGCTCTCGTTGTTGGGGGAGGAATGTATACTGGCGCTCTGGTCGTTGGAGGAGGAATATAGATCGGTGCCCGTGTGGTACTGGGTGGCAGGTAAATTGGAGGCCGGGTCTGCGGTCTAGCCGTCGTTGGGAAAGTAAATGGCACTTTAGGTGTTGGGTAGTCGTAGCCTGTTGTCCTGAATGGTGGTGGTGTCACTGGAGGTGGTGGCCTAGTTGGTGGTGGTGGTGGAGGTGGCGGAGGTCTCGTTGGAGGTGGTGGAGGAGGTGGGGGTCTAGTTGGAGGTGGTGTTGGAGGCCTTGTAGGTGGTGGAGGAGGCAAGTATGTAGAAGGAGCCCTCGTGGGAGGTGGAGGTGGTGGCCTTGTTGGTGGAGGAGTAGGAGGCCTTGTTGGTGGAGGAGGTGGCAGATATGTCGAGGGTGTTCTGTAAGTCGGGGGTCTAGTGGGTGGAGGTGTCGGTGGCCTGGTCGGTGGTGGTGGTGGAGGAGGTCTCCTTGTCGTAGTCGGAGGCAGGTATGTTACTGGAGGAAATGTTCTACGTGTGGTCGGCTGCGTTACAGGTGGAATGTAAGGCCTTCTGGTTGTTGTTGGATAAGTAAAAGGCACTTGTGGGGTTGGGTAACTGTAACCCGTTGTTCTGAAAGTTGGTGGTCTAGTTGGGGGAGGTGGCGGTGGTGGAGGGGGTCTCCTTGTCGTGGGAGGTGGTGGAGGCCTAGTTGGTGGCGGTGGTGGAGGAGGTGGTGGTCTTGTTGGGGGTGGTGGTGGAGGTGGAGGAGGTCTCCTTGTTGTTGGTGGTGGCGGTGGCCTAGTTGGTGGTGGAGGAGGAGGAGGTGGCGGCCTTGTTGGTGGTGGGAAAGGTATGCGCGGTGTTTCGTATACATATCCTGTCGTACGAGGTCTAGACGTAGGTGGTGGTGGAGGTGGGGGTGGTGGTCTAGTTGGTGGCGGTGGTGGAGGGGGAGGAGGTCTTCTTGTTGTTGGTGGTGGTGGTGGCCTAGTAGGCGGAGGTGGAGGTGGAGGCGGAGGCCTTGTTGGTGGCGGGAAAGGGATGCGTGGGGTTTGGTATGTGTATCCTGTAGTTATTGGTGGTCTAGTTGGAGGCGGGGGAGGAGGTGGTGGTGGCCTTGTTGGTGGAGGTGGTGGAGGGGGTGGGGGTCTCCTTGTCGTCGGGGGAGGCAGTGGTCTTCTAGTAGTAGGTATCTCAAATGGTATGCGCGGAGTGTCATAATAATATCCAGTAGCTTGAGTTATTGGCGGTCTTGTGACCGGTGGAGGTGGTGGCCTAGTCGGCGGCGGTGGTGGTGGTGGAGGTGGCCTGGTTGGTGGCGGTGGCGGTGGCGGAGGTGGCCTGGTTGGCGGCGGCGGTGGTGGTGGCGGTGGCCTGGTCGGAGGCGGCGGTGGTGGTGGCGGGGGGAAGGGGATCTTCGGCTTAGGGTAGAAATATCCGTCCTCGTCGAGGTTAGCAGAAATTGGAGATCCAAATACAGCATAGTTTTGATTCGAGCTGAACTGTATCGCTCGCGGCGCACGCTCTGCCTTGCAAGTGTGGTACACTGCAAGCAGCACCACTGCCAGGTGCAGTGACAGCCTCTGAAATAATATAAAATTAAGATTTAAAATTATTTCAATTATTCATAACAATCGTAGTTAGGATAGAGATATAGATTCGTGTCTGTATTAATATTATGATATTATATATATTCACACGAAGCTCTATTCTCGGATTCTAATGCTCATACTTAGTTCAAATAAAATTTTTATATGCATAGTTCGTGCACAATTTGTTAAGTATATTTAATCGAGGATAATCTTCTCCCCTAATCTCAGGTGATTTATATCTTTGTGTCAGGGTCGTGTGTCATAACGTTAGCTTCAAAGCATTTGACCTGCTGACCACCGTTTGACATCATGCGTACCTATTAATCATTGTATTTATGCAACGAACAATGTCATTAACATTTAGACATCAATAAATTAAATGCGTCTTTACTTATGTAATTTTTAATCAATTATTTATTTACATTAGCGCATCTAGAAAATGCTCATCTGGCATAGCCTAGATTAATTTACAATTCTCAGTGTGGAAAACATTCAGCATTACATAATTTATTATACATAATAATATATAACGAACTAATATAAATATTTCATTAGAAACTATGCCTTGATAGAGCTAGGTTAATGGAAATTTCTAGGTTATAATGATTTTTTTTTTCTTTTTTTTTTTAAAGGGGGGAAATCATCGAATGACTGC